TCCCTGTTACTCAGAAATCCAGGACAGCATTCTGCTCCCGGTCCTATGCGTTCAGAAAACCAGCACCAGTATCTCTTCGCACAGAGACGTCAGCGTGTATTCCTTGACAATTCCATATTGTCATCTCAAGACAATTTGCTCTCACATTAAATGATGCAGGAAGCATCAAATGAAGATGGAATGAATAGAGTCTCCGTACCAAAGAGTCAGTTGAAATTCAACCATTTAAAGAGGCAGTATTTGATAAAGAACCAATGGTACTGAAAGAAGTCCAAGCTACACTGACGGCATTAGTGAAAAAACAAGGCTCCAGGAATTGATAGGATACTAACTGAATTGTTTCCATACGCTGAAGCACTGGAAGCAATTTGGAAGTCAGCTACCTGGTCGGCTGACTCAAAGATCCGCATGTGTGCCCATTCCAAAGAAACATTACCCAACAGATTGTGGAAATTATCGAATGACATAATTAATAACGCATGCTAGTAAAATTTTGCTGAATTTAGAAACCGGTTTGTTGCAGTAGTAAGTCAGCAGGGAGCTGCCAGAAATTGAAGCTGGATTCAGAAGAGATCGTGGCACACGAAGGCTATCTCATTGCTGATATCAAATGGATCTTGGTACAAAACAGAGACTACCAGAAAGATGTTTACTTGTGTTTTAATGACTATAGCCATGGCATTCAACTCTATAGATCATAGTAAGCTACAGACAGTATTATAAAGAATGAGAATTCCAGAACACTTCATTATATTGATGTGGAACCTGTACATGGGCTAAGAGGCAGTCTTTTAAAAAGAAAGGAATACTCGGTGGTTTAAAATCAGGAAAGATGACGAAGATCACAGACTGTGCCCTTCCGTGTGGATTACAATTTAATGTAAAGAAAGCCAAAGTCCACCCGCTGGACCAGTAGACAACATCATGACAGAGTAGAGATTGAAGTCGTCAAGGATTTCATTTTACTGGGATCCACAATCAATGCTCATGTAAGCTGTAATCAAGAAGTCAAACGGTGTATTACACTGAGCAAATCTGTGGCAGAAGACCTCTTTAAAATATCTGAAGTCCCGTGGGCTGCCAGAGGAACAAAAAAATAAGTCTTGGAAGAAGTACAGCTAAAATGCTCCTTATTATGCTCCAAGGATGGTCAGACTTCATCGGGTGTACTTTGGACACCTTATCAGGAGACCAAAAAGAAACTCATTGCCAGCAAGTCAATTCCAACTTCAGACAGAGCCTACAGGGCAGAAGAGAACTGCCTCTGTGGGTTTCTGAGACAGTAATTCTTTACGGGAGTGGAAAGCCTCATCTTTCTCCTGTGGAGTGGCTGGTAGTTTCGAACTGCTAACCTTCTGGATACCTACCCAACATGTAACCACTACACCACCAGGACTCCTTAAGGACAGACTGACTAGTCCCCAGAAAAGGACATCAATCATACTTGGTAAAGTAGGTCAGGGAAAATGAGGAAGACCCTCAGGGAGATGGGTTGACATCCATGGCTGCAACAAGTCTCCAAAATAATTGTGAGGATGGTGCAGGACTAAGGAAGTGTTTTGTTCTGTTGTTTACAAAGTTGCTGTATGTTAGAACCGACTAGATGACACCTGACCACCACCACCTGCGCTCGCTACTATGATCGAACTAGCTTTTCCACATTAGGCTATTCAGTGCGAGTTATTTGTGTGACACAAGGCAGTTACAAGCATCTATGTTTGCACCATGATAGTGTTTCCAAGAAAGAAGTTGGAAGCACCCTTTAATTACCAAAGTTTTGGGGGAAACCGGTCACAATCACTCCTGAAGTTACAATTGATAGAGATCACTTCTTTCAGTGTAGCTCGAGAAATCCTGAGTAAGAAGCTCAAATATTCAAGAGACACACAATTCAAAAAGTCCCAGCAACCCGAAAGTCACGTCTGTATCAAATGAATCTCAGGGTAACCTGAACTCAACTTTTAGTTACGCACTTATCATGCCACTTTAATTCCTTAGACGCCAGCTTTGGGCACAGCATCTCAATGTTTTTCCTTTTTCTTGTTTGCTGCCCTCGAGCCCATTCGAGAATAAGAGAAGGAAACACTGTCTGGTCCTGTGTCATTTGCACAATGGCTATTCTGGAAACCATGGTTGCAGTCACTGTGTCACTCCGCCCATGATGTCCTTTTCCGGGCTAGGCCTATTAGGTTGGAAGGGCTATGGCACCTCACACTCAGCTTCCAGAGAAGAATGACCACGTACCCAGTACCAAGCGCCTGGCAGAGACTGCTAGTCACTTAACACATGCCTCATTTGAGCTGCACTACAACGGCACTGGATGATCCAGAGGTCACGATAAGCTGGGTAACTCTGAACAAAGTCAGCACGGCAGATGTGAGCCCAAAGTCTCGGACGCTATTGTACACTGCGCTACTCTGGCTGAGCTCCAACTAATGGAATCGGAGTGTCCTTTTCTGACCTCTCAAATGCGGGTATCCTTCAACCACTTCCGTTGGAAAACGAATCTCACTGGCTGTAAGGGCCCAGTCCAGGCGTCCTCGGACATTCAGAGGAACGCGTTAGACCCTACCTCGGGATCGCACAGCCGCTGACCCTACTGCTTCCCTCACGGCCGTCACCCCCACCCCCCTCAATCTCACGCTTAGCTGAGGTTGCCTTTGGAGCTTGTAGCACCCGGATAGCTGCGGGTGTCCGGGAGGGCGATACATTGAACTTCCTAGAAAAGAGGGATGGGCCAGAAGTGTGGCCCCCGTCGGGTCACGATCTGCTCCCCGCTGGCCCCAGGAGCCACCTGCTTAGACAAGCGCAAGCAAAGACTCCGAGGGTCACCTTGACCCTTGTTCTCTCAGCCCCAACTTCCGGGCTGAACCGGCCCCATCGGGGGAACATCTCTAGAAACGGGAGCCTCGGCGACCGCAGCCAGCCGGTGTGGAGCGGGGCCGGGATAAGGCGAGAACCGAACCGCGCGCTGACAGAAGCTTCCCCGGCTCCAGCTCCGCGGCTTCCCGCGGCCGGAGGGCTAATGTCGCCAATTCTCCGGGACGAGCAGGCGCAGCGCCACCCGTACCTGAGGGTTATAAGCGTCAAAAGCCCCAGCTCCCGCCAACTTCTGAGTGAAGCCACTGAACTTGTAGTACATGATGCCCGGCGTCCAGGTTCCCACCACCGCTGCCCGCGCGACGGCCCCAGGAAAGGACCCCGCCTCCCGGGTTGTCGCCGGAAGGCTCAGCCAAGGACCCCGAGTCAGGAGTCGGGCTGCCCTGAGATCGCCTGATAAACTATATCAAGAATTAAGATTTCGCGTTATCAGGACCAAAAGATATCTATGACCAACTATAGGCCAGCACTAAACGCTTCTGTATCGGATTCTGCAGAAAATACGAGACGCACTCTCCTTTTCCCTCTAAAGCCAGGCAGTGTCAAGACACCTTAACAAAGGCGCAAGCGCTCTGCGGACCAGGACCAATGGCTGAGGCCCTCGCCGGGTGGGAAGGGGCGGTACCTGGGCGGGGCCTGGTGCCGGAGCGGAGAGGCAGAGGGCAGTAGGGGCGGGGCGGAGGAGAAGGGGCGGGGCCGAGGCGGAGTTGGGTGACAAGGCCGGGCTTGGGAACTTTGGGCGCTTGGAGCTGGCTCAGCGTAGGTTAAGGGGTTCTTTTTCCTGAATTAAACTAGTGCTTGTAGTTTCCTTTCTTCACCCCACTCCCCAAAGATAGATCGTTTTGTGAGACATCCCACTCTTAGTTCGCCCAGCAGTATCCCTTCGGCTGATCACCTGGGAAGGGAGCAAGCAAGAAAGGTGGAAGCACCTCAGGAAAGCTGTCTCGTCCCCAGGGCCGCTAGGCATCACAAGACCGGGCTTGGACCCAATACTGTAAAGATACCGCCTGAGCTTTGGGCAGAGGAAACAGTGACCAAGACCCCATTGGTTTTTACTATTTTCTGAGCTCTTCTTAAGAGAAGGAGTTACGTGTCCTTTTCCTGGCCTCCATCTCTGAGATAAATGAGATGGAAGAATAAATTAGGACCTGGAGCCTTAAAAGGACCCTGGATGGCACAGAGTAAGAATTGGGCTGTTAACTGAAAGGTCAGTGGTTCAAACCCACCCTCCACTATACAGGTGAAAGATGAGGCTGTCTGCTTCTGTAAAGATGCAGAAAACTCGCTGCCATCAAGTCCATGGTGACTCATAGAGACCCTCTGTGGGTTTCTGAGACTGTAACTGCTCACGGGAGTAGAAAGCCCAGTCTTGGAATTGACTAGACAGCACTGGATCTGGCTTGGGTTTTGAGCCTGGACATTCCAGGATGACCACACAACAGCACCTGGTATTACAGTGCAATTTAAAGAAGGCTTTAAGCCTCCAAGTCTAAAAGGAGCCTACTAGACCCTACTCTCCAAAGGTAGAGCAAGGTTTTCTTAACATAATGATAGGTACACTTATCATCCATCATAGGTTTTCACCAGCATGTGATAGTCGGGTTTACAGAGCAGTTATGAATGGGTGGTTAGAACTAACTAAGCCTGACGTAGTCTTTTCTAGAAGTAAATGCATTTAATGTCCACAACTGGTCCTGGTGGTGCAAACGATCTGTGGGCTTGGTTGTTAACCCAAAGGTTGGCAGCTTAAGGCGATCCCAGAAGCATCGCAGAAGAAAGTTGTGGTGGTCTGCTTTGCAATGTGCAGGCGTGGGAAACCCTGGGGAGCATAATTCCACTTTCAACACACATGGGGTGGCCACGAGCCACAATCAACTCGATTGCCACTGGTTACTATTCACAGCAATCCTACAAAACCGATGCAGTTGTCATCCCCATTGTATGCTATAGGAAACTGAGGCTCAGAGAAGTAAGATAACTTGCCCCACTCCGTCCTGACCGAGTGATAAAGCCAGTAATAGGACTGAGGAGTCTGTACTCTTACGCCTTGCATCATATAGTTTCTATCTTGAGAGAAGAGTGTAGACTGAGTGCCTCCGAAACAGGGTGATTCCAGCCAACACTCCCCGCCCCCCTCCCCGCCTTTGACAGGTGGGACCTTAAAGCCCCAGGCTTTCCACATTGCCAGTACCTTCGAGAGCAAAAGCATATCAGCACACTCGTGTGACAAACCAGTGCAAATGGATAATCCGATCCAAAGTGGCTTGTTTTTGCAAATCAGGAAGGGAAGAACATGCTATTTGGATGTGCATTGCAATTTCCCCAAGACTGAGTGATTTGGGACCAGTCATGTCCACTTTCTGAGCCTCATTTGCCTGCAAAGTAGGAATCTTCATAATGAGAGTGCCCCTCACTAGTATCCTGAGACTCAACAGTTTGGTGCGTTATAAAGCTTACACAAATGTTAAGTGGCTGATCTTTTAGCTCATTTTACTTTTCCCTATTTGGGGGGCTGTGTATAAGGCTCCAGAGCCCTGATGGTGCAATCATTAAAGGACTTGGCTCAGCAGTTAGAAGTTGACAATTGGAACCCAACAATGGCTCCAAGGGAGAAAGATCTGGCAGTCTGCCTTCATGATGAGTACAGCGTTGGAAACCCTATGGGGCAGTTCGACTCTGGTTGCTATGAGTCAGAATCTATTAGACAGCAGTCTATTTTGGTTTGGTATATAGATTCTTAGGAGCCCTGGTGGCTTAGTGGGCTATGTTTTGGGTTGCTAACATCAAGGTCAGCAGTTCAAAACCACTTGCCTCTCTGAGGGAGAAAGATGAAACGTTCTACTCCTATAAAGATTTCCAGTATCACAAACCCACAAAAGCAAATCCATTCTCTTATAGAATCACTATGAATTAGAACGGGCTTAATGGCAGAGAGTTTGAGTTGGCTATAGACACAGTTATTGGTATTGCATGTCACTGCCTTGATTTTATATGGCAGAGTAGAACTGCCCCCGGTGGATTCCCTAGGCTGTAATCTTCAATGGCGTATCACCAGGTCTTTTCTCCCTCAGAGTGGCTGGTAGGTTCGAACCATAGACCTTTCCATTTGCAGCCAGAGGCTCCTGAGCCTCTTGGTCACCATAAGCTTTTCTTGGTTACCCTGTTGTTGGTGTTTAGTGCCGTTGAATCAGATCCAACTCATAGCAGCACTCTACACAACAGATGCAAGCACTGCCTGGTCCTATCTCTTCACAAGGGCTGTTATGCCACTGTGTCTGCCCTTGCATCAAGGGTCTTCCTCTTTGCTGATTTCTCCTGCTGTTAGGTGCCATCGAGTTGGTTCCTAGTCATAACAACCCTATACACAACAGAACAAAACACTGCCCGGTCCTGTGCCATCCTCACAATTGTTCTTATGTTTGAGTCCATTGCTATAGCTATGTGTCAATCCATCTTGTGGAGAGTTTCCTCTTTTTCGTTGCCCCTCTACCAAACCTGATGCCCTCTAACCAGAAGTTCCAATTGCCAACTTCTAACTGCTGAGCCAAGTCCTTTAATGATGGCACCATCAGGGCTCTGGAGCCTTATACACAGCCCCCCAAATAGGGAAAAGTAAAATGAGCTAAAAGACCAGCCACTTAACATTTGTGTAAGCTTTATAATGCACCAAACTGTTGAGTCTCAGGATACTAGTGAGGGGCACTCTCATTATGAAGATTCCTACTTTGCAGGCAAGTGAGACTCAGAAAGTGGGTAGACCTGGTTGACTAGAGAAACAAATCCAGAGACAGTCATAAGTATAGGAAGGAGCTTTATATCAAGAAGTAATTGCAATTCAAGCAAACATCCCAGCCCAGTCGAGATCAAGTCCATAAGTCCATAAATCCCTCTTCAGACTCACGAAGTTACATGCAATGATGCAGAATGCAGGAAGATCACAGACCGGTGGGTGCAAAGTCTTGTGGATCCAATGGCGGTGGAAGCATCACAGGGCTGGTGCAGGTCTCAGCTTGGCTCATCAACAGGAAGGGGAAAGCAGAGAGAGAGGGGAGGTTCCCAGGACCCTCCTTAGGAGAAGGTCACACCCACAAGGAGGCACCATGAAGCTGTGACCTCATTGACAGACTAGACTCCACCCCTATACTTTTCTGTCTTCAAGTTGACATGGAATTATGTATCTACACCAGGTTTGCATTAATACTGAAATCATTCATTCCAAGAAAGGGGAATGAGCTTGCTACAAACATTGGGTGGAAGGAAAAGTCTTTCTTTCCTAGAGGTTAAATCGAAAAGGGAAGTTAAATGCATAGTGACAGCTCCCTGTCTCCATCCTACAGGCTCCTGGACATATTTTGGAAGAAGAAAGCAAAGAACATTCCCCACCTGTTAGTAGCACCAAGGTGTACCAGCTTCTTGAAATATAGAGGTGCCTGTCAACACTGGTTATTTTCTTAAAGCTCCTGCCATCTGATTTTAGAGCCTGCAAGACATAAATTAAGAATCCTGAAAATGTGACAACAGCCAGGCTGTTCAGTGGGAGATAAAATGTCAGTAGCAGAGTGTGGGTTGGAATGTCACATGGAGTGGCTGATCATGGGAAGATTTTTGTCTCATTTTCCAAATAAAATGCAGCACTTTCTGACAGAACCAAGACACCCTATTCTCATTCTGATTTGCATTTCCCACCCAACCTCAAAGACATGATCTTTCTCTTTAGCAGGATCTCCTTCAAGTTGTCCCTCAGAACGTGTTCTCAGGGGACGTGGCCACGATTTGCAGAGCAGGGACACTTGGCAATCGCCAAGTGAACTGAGCGAGTGCGAATGCCAGGAGGCCCCGGGGGAATCAGAGCTGAGGACCGTGTGTGCTAATGGCCTCCTGAAACCCTCAGAGGAGGGGTGCCAGTCCACTCCACGCTGTGAACTGGGTGTCCTGATTATAGAGAGGAACTTCCTCCTGCATAGGGGCACAGGCTTTCCAAAGGAGCCCTGGTGGTGAAGCGGGCTATGAGTTGGGCTGCTAACCGTGAAGTCAGCAGTTCAAATCCCCCAACTGCTGCACTGGAGACAGAAGAGGCTTTCTGCTCTTATAAAGATTACAGCCTCCCACAGGAGATTCTTCACTTCTGAATTCTCTAGTTTTCCTGAAACTGCCTCTGTCGGCAGAGCTAAGGCACGGAGGTCCTATAGCAGTAGCGGTTAGGGTTATCAGGGCTCCTGTTCGGATTCCTTCCAAACTCTCCTTATCTTCAGAGGGGCTGGCATCTGATAGAAAAATATGAGTAAGAGCATTTGGGGGACACAAGCCCCCCGGCTGCC